GAACAGTCAGGAATCATCACCAGCAACATTTCCGGTCGTGGACATCATCTGGTCATGTGATAGCTCCTCCTGCTGGCTCTGAGAAGGTGAGAACAATTCTGCCCTCTCAGCTTTGCTCCTTTGACTGTTCTTAGATCAGGAAGGGCATTGAGAGGGTCAGGATGCTGATGCATTCTGTGATGAATGAAGCCCTGCTTGAATCCAAGTCTGATCTCCCACAAAGTCTGATTCAAGACTAACACATTTATCTATGTTTGTGGCAACTGACTCAAAATCCCAGTTTTATCAGCGACATTTACATGGAAGATGATTGGCACAAAGTTTTTCAGATGCAAATCAGCACCAAATTAGGAGAATAGAGGCAGAAGTAGGGCACTGGTTTTCAGATAGCATCAATCTATTAATCTTCCAACACTATTTTCTAGCTGGGCCACTAATCTCAGGTGAGATATTCCAACTTGTACTTACTTCTTTTTTTTAACAAATTGTGGCAAATAGGTTAGATAGGTTAATGGCCAAGATATATCTGAATTTGTAAGTTTATATTTCAATATATGTGGAACTCAGAAAAATCATTGGCTCTTTAAAACATTGAACCAGTTTGTTCATTAAATCTTAAACTAAATTAAAACTAAGGGTACAAAGTTCCTGAAAAAAAAAGTGAAAGATGCAAACATAATTTTTAAGCATACTTGATATATTTCCATTCATTCAATTCATTATTCATTTTTTTAATTCTTCACTTTGAACAGCTTCATGGAGATGTAATTCACAGACTATACAATTCAGCTGTTTAAAGTGCACAGTTCAGTGGTTTTTAGTATATTCACTGAGCTGGGCAATTATTACCGTAATAAAAATTTTAGACGATTTTCATTATGCCATAAAGAAACCCCATACCCATTACTCCCCATTCCACCTACAGCTCCAACAACCCTAGTCAACCACTGATCTACTTTCTGTTTCTGTTGATTTCCCTATTCTGGACATTTCATATAAATGGAATTGCACAACAGTGGGCTTTTTTTCTGGCTTCTTTCCCTTAGTATAATGTTTTCAGGTTTCATCCATGCTGTAGCATGTGTCAGTACTTTTATCACCAAATAATATTCCATTGTATGGATGGACCGTACTTTGTTTATTCATCAGTTGATAAACCTTTGGTTTTGCAGTGCATTGAGTGGTGGCCATCAAAATATATGTCCATCCCTTAAGAGCCCTGAAACTTGTGAATGTGACCTTATTCGGAAAAAGGTTCTTTGCAAATGCACGTAAGTTAAGGATCTCAAGATGAGAACATCCTAGTGGGCCCTAAATCCAAGGACCAAAGTTTTTATAGGAGGCACATAGAGGAGAGAGAAAGGAGGAGACATGTAAAGATCAGGCAGAGATTGGATTGATGCAGCCACAGCCAGCCAAGGAACCCCAGAAGCCACCAAAAGCTGGAAGAGGCAAGGAAGGAATCTCCCCTAGAAACTTCAGAGGGAGCACAGTCCTACCAGAACTTTGATTTCCGATTACTGGCTTTCAGAACTGTGAGAGAGTAAAATTCTGTTATTTTAAGCCAACCAGTTTGTGGTGATTTGTTACTGCAGCCTTGAGAAAATGACACAGGATTGTTTCCACTTCTTGGCTGTTATGAATAGTATTGCAGTGAACATTCACATACAGGTTTTTGTGCGGGTGTATGTTTTCATTTCTCATGGGTAGGTACCTAGGAGTGGAATTGCTAGATCATATGGTAACTATGTTTCACATTTAGAGGAACTACCAAACTGCTTTCCAAAGCAGTTATGCAATGTCAACCACAAAAATGTTTTGAACATATTAGAACTCACAGATACCTCAGGTATCATCTCATCTAGTTTAGTTTCATGAAAGAAAAAAAAATACTAAGTAACCAAAAAAAGTGCACTCAGTGATGAGAGGTAATTGATTGACTCTGGGTAAAAACATGACTGTAGTTACAGTCACCAGCTCATCTTGATTTGCTTGGAACTGCCTCCAATTATATGTGAAAACTCACCTCCTGAGAATCCCTCAGTTGGTACAACTGGTCACCCCAGGACATAAACTGATGCTTCCTCAGTCCCAGTGCACTACTTCTACCTCTGCCCACCTTCTTTGGTTCTGCTTTGCCATTGGAAAGCCATTGTGCCAAAAATCCTCTATTCAAGTGTCTGATAGGACTGGGCTACCCAGGACGGGCTGGTTGCTACAGAGGGATGCCTAAGTCATCCTGGGTCAGGCTTTTGTGGAAACACACTTGGACTCAGGCATGGCTTCATTTTGTCACTGTGAAGAGATCAGCATCGTGTCCCTGCCCCCAAGGATACTTTCTAATCTACGTACAACCAAAGGAATAAAATTGAGGAGGGATTCTGTGAGATGACTGTACTGACACTCATAAGGCCATCAGAAAGTGTATCATGTGACTAGTTTATAGTCTATGATCAAAGCAAAATTGGTGCTGATGTGACTGCCTTCCATTTTCTGAAAAAGTTTCTAAGGATTACTGTCAATTAAGAAACACATTAAACACTTTTTTCTGAAGAGTCATTGCATTTAGGGAACAATGTCCTCTTTTACAATTTCACCAGTGACTATGGAGGACAAGGAAGTCCTGCTCGTTGACCCCAACTTTGGGGCCCCCCTGTATAAAAACTCCAGAACAGAAGGAGACATGAGATTCTGGAAAACTCAACATTAACAGGAGCCCGCCCTCCACCACTGACACCATGACCATGCTGTTCTCCTTGTTGCCAGCCCACCTGCTGCAGGACCACCTGCTGTGGGTCCAGTAGCTGTGGACAAACCTGCAGCCAGTCCAGCTGCTGCCAGCCTTGCTGCCCCACAACCTGCTGTCAAACCACCTGCTGCCAACCTACTTATGTGACCACCTGCTGCCAGCCCACCTGCTGTGGGTCCAGCGGCTGTGGACAAAACTTCAGTGGGTCCAGCTGCTGCCAGTCTTGCTGCCAGCCAGCTAGCTGTGCACCCATGTACTGCCACCGAACCTGGTACCACCCCACATGCTGCTGCCTGCCTGGGTGCCAGGCCCAGAGCTGCGGATCCAGCTGCTGCCAGCCTTGCTATGTGTCCGGCTGCTGCCAACTGTCCTCCTGCTGATCCTCCCACCATAGAATCATGTGACACAGACCAACCTTCTGCCATCCAACTTGTGAGATCTCCAGTTACTGCCACCAGCTCCATCACCCGGCTTCACTAGCGTCTGGTGGGCTGCCACTATCTTTCTATTAGTCATATTGAATAAGAGGCACTGTGAGATGGTGTAGTGGCATGCAGTTGACATCAGTTTTATTTTCTTCATCTTTATTTGCAGCCAATCTCTGTAATACCTGCAGATCTTAGGTCTCTTTGACCTACAGTCATTGCATCAGCCTTGCAAAAATGATCACCATTTTTCCTAAGTAACCTAAAGCACAAATCATTGTGATAGTTTTCTTAGGTTCCTTCCATGTTTACTATTTCTTTATAATCATTTCTTTTGTAGTGGACTCATGATTCTTCTGTTTCACTTCCTCCTCTTTGTGATGACCCTGTATTGTCTTTCAAGCTATTAGGAAGCTTCTCTGATTCCATCCTGTTGAAGCCTTTGCTGTCTTCCAGCCTATATTGTGATTTGACTTTTTGTACAACATTTTCTCGTAAATCCTCTCATTCATATTTTATTTCACAGGTATTTTCTGTTCTGAGCCTGACAATGACCCCAAAACTGACAGAACCAAAATGACCACATCACAATAAATTAAGCATGGACATAGAACTGGGCACTGAGCTAACTGTACCATGGAAATTTTACTTTGGAGCCATCCACATCTCTCTAAAACATCATCCTGAGGGAAACAGAAGGATTTGATAAAGAAAAGAAACCAGCACTCTGAGAAGCTGTGGTGGGTGTAACAGGTATGAGTCTAGTCCTCCAAAGTAGGAACCATATTTTCTGAAGAAGAACTGAAGAAAAAGAGGAGATCTAGATATTTGCTGGAAAAAGACAAGATACTGACTGTGGGACGAAAAGGGTATTTTATGACCAGAGCCATCTTCTTGTTTTAGGTCCTAGAAGACCTCACAGGGCAGAGGGATTCTGTGAAGAGGCTGCCAGGTTC